AGAAGAGGAAGCTTCCGAGAAAGAGGGAAAGTCCACAGAAAAAAGCAGGCGCAGGCTTCTGGAGAGTGAGAGAAAAAGAGATAAAAAGAAAAAAACGAGAGTTATACTTTTCTGACTTAGAACTTAAAAAAAAACAGGGCAGCTGTGCAGTAGAAAGAGAGAGGGCGGCCGGTGCAGTGGGAAGAGAGACGGCGGCCGTGCAGTGGGAAGAGAGACGGCGGCCGTGCAGTGGGAAGAGAGACGGCGGCCGTGCAGTGGGAAGAGAGACGGCGGCCGTGCAGTGGGGAAGAGAGACGGCGGCCGTGCAGTGGGAAGAGAGAGGGCGGCCGTGCAGTGGGAAGAGAGACGGCGGCCGTGCAGTGGGAAGAGAGACGGCGGCCGTGCAGTGGGAAGAGAGACGGCGGCCGTGCAGTGGGAAGAGACACGGCAGCCGGCGGCCGTGCAGTGGGAAGAGACACGGCAGCCGGCGGCCGTGCAGTGGAAAGAGACACGGCGGGCCGTGCAGTGGGAAGAGAGCCGGCGGCCGTGCAGTGGGAAGAGAGACGGCGGCCGTGCAGTGGGAAGAGACACGGCGGCCGTGCAGTGGGAAGAGACACGGCGGCCGGCGGCGCGTGCAGTGGGAAGGAGAGACGGCGGCCGTGCAGTCGGAAGAGAGACGGCGGCCGTGCAGTGGGAAGAGACAACGGCGGCCGTGCAGTGGGAAGAGAGAGACACGGCGGCCGTGCAGTGGAAAGAGACACGGCGGCCGCACAGTAACAGCTGCAAAAACAAAACAGCAGTTCTGAGACAGACCCTTTCTCAATAAGCAAATAAGTAAAGAAATAAATAAAATCCACTGCATGCTACAGTACAACAGAAATCAGCAACCCAGCCATTGCTGATGTGCACATAAATTGATAAAACTTTTTGGCAACATATGTCCATAATCTTGAAAATGTTTAAACTTAGCCAACTCATGGTCAGTAACTTATCCTGAGTAAATTTTCAAACATGAGCAGGGAGACTCATAAATCTGTGAGATACCATGGCTGTTCTGCCTGCCAAACACTGAAAAATATTCAAATGTTTAACCTTAACTTTCATACAGCTGCATAACAGAGCAATCAAAATTTAGATTTTAGAAAAAGAATTAAAGATATAGTAATACCTTTTATGAGGCAATAGATATGGGAACAGTAGAGAAGCCCTTCAAAACTGAAGACCAAGGCCAGAGATGGAGCTGAATTGTAGAGCATTCCCAGGCATGCAAGGAGCCTGGACTCAATCTCCAGCACCTTTATAAACCAAACAGAATTTCCCACCACCAGCAAGCAATTCCAAAAGAACTGAAAGCAGACCAGATGTGCAGGCTCACACCCATAAGTCCAGGACTTAGGAGACTAGGGCAGGAAGACTGTCATAAATTCAAGGCCAGCCTGGGCTACAGAATGAGTCTCTGTCACATAAAAACCAAAACGGTCTTTTGAAAGGTTTATTTAATTTCGAGTGTTCTGCCTGCATATGTGCACGTACACCCCATGCACGCCTGGTGGCAGCAGAGGCCAGAAGGAGGATCCCCAGGAACTGTAACAATTGTTAGCCACCATGTGAGTGCTGGGAACCCAATCCCGGTTCTATGAAAGAACGGCAAGGGCTCTGAACTGCTGAGCCATCTCTCCAGCCCCTAAAACACTAAAGAGGACAAATACAGAGGGCTGGAGAGACAGACGACTCCGCAGTTAATAAGGCGCACTGCCCCTGCAGAGGACCTGAGTTCAGTCCCCAGCAGTCACAAGTGGCTCCCAACTGCCCTGTAACTCAAGCCTCCAAGGGATCTGAGACCATGTTCTGGTTTCTACAGGCACCTGCACTCCTGTGCACATATTCCTACACAGAGACATACACGTTACTAAAAAATCTAAATGAGGATAAATACCATGTCTCCACTCACATATGGCACCCACAGTCAAAGACAGAAAGAGAACTGTGGCTGCTAGAGAGACTGCGGGGTCGTTTAGTGAGGAGAGTTTAGCTTTTACAGGGTGCACAGGGTTCTGGGGACAGACGGCAGAGATGGCTGCCCAATGGGAAAGTACCTGACAGCAAGAACCACAGCTAAAGGGTTAAGATGGAAAATTTTGTTAGATACATTGTATCACAATTAAAAAGAAATAAAGCGGAAGGATGGCTCAGCAGTTCAGAGCACTCACTGCCTTCCAGAGGACTCGGGTTAAGTTCCCAGCACCCACAGGGCAGCTCACAACTGCATGTAACTCCAGTTTTGGGTGATCAAATGCCTTCTTCAGACCTCTGCAAGCTCCTGCATGCACATGGAGCACATATATACACTCGAGTACACACCCATACAATAAATCAATTTTTTAAAAAGGAATTAGGAGGCAGAGGAAATCAAAGAGTTTGAGGTCAGCCTGGGCTTCCTAGGGAGGCCACATTTCAGAAAAGCGATACATAAATATATGCTGACACATCTTAGAGCTAAAAGCATGATGTAAAACATACAGAACAAATTTGAATTCCCTGAACTGGAGTTACAGACAGCTGCAAATGCCATGTGGGTGCTGGGAACTGAACCCAGGTCCTCTGGAAGGACAACAAATGCTCCTAACCACTGAGCCATCCCTCCAACCCTATAATCATAAGCTGAAGCATGGGGTTAGCAAGATGGCTCAGTGAGTAAAAATGCTTGCCAGACAAGCCAAAAGCACTTGCTATACAGGCTTGAAAACCTGAGTTCAATCCCAGGTGAAGTTAGAAATAGAGAAGCAACTCCACAAAGCTGTCCTCTAACTTCCACACATGCATTGCGGAATGGGCTCACGCGCGTGCGCACACACAGCCAATAAATAAGAAGCACTATAAAAATGAAGTACGCTGCTGTCCTTATGAGTGTAACTCAGCGGTAGAGCACCTACCCAGAGTGCCTAGTTCTATGCCAGCACCACAAAAATAAAATCAAGCCGAAGTGTGCTGCCTGTACAAACGAAAAAGGAAAGAAAAGGTCACTTGTATTGGTACTACGTTTCTTCTTCTTTTTGTTTTTCAAGAAAAGGTTTCTCTGTGCAGCCCTGGCTGTCCTAAAACTCACTCTGTAAGACAAGCTTGACCTCTAACTCAGAGATCTGCCTGCCTCTGCCTCCTAAGCGCTGGGAATAAGGCATGCGCTACCACCGCCTGGCTGGCACTACACGTTTCCTAAAGATTAGTAGATTTTTAAAAACGTTGAATTATGTGTATGTTTGTATATGTCCATGTGAGCACAGATAAGGAGGCCAGAAGGAGGTATAGAGCTGAATTACAGGCAATTGTAAGCTGCCCAACAGAAGCACCAGGAACTGAATTCAGGTCTTCTGAAAGAGCAATCTGAGCCTTTAACCCTGAGTCATCTCCCCAGCCCCCACCTTTGTTTTTAAAGCATATGTAAGCAGGACACACACATACTCAGCACTAGAAGTCAAAGGACAACGTGTGGAAATCTGTCCTCTCCTTCCACCATCGGAGTTCCGGGGACTGAACTCAGGTTCTCAGACCTGGCAACAAGTATCTCTAACCTGCTGAGGCATCCTCCTAGCCTGGAGCTACATCTTAATGTGAGAATGTCCACAAGTCTGTTTTCACCAGTATAATAACTACCACCTTTAAGTCACAAAAAGCAGACTAAGGATTGGAAAAATAAAGGCCAAATTGGAAGCCAGGCAAGGTACACTGCGGCCTATTGCTCCTAACACTTGAGAGGTAGAGGCAGGGGGATCAGAAATTCAAGGGCATCCTCTGCTACACAAGAGTGTGAGATTAGCCTGGACTACATGAAATTCCTTATCAAAAACAAGGGTGGGGAGGCCTGGGGGTGTGTCTCAGCTAGCAGAGCACTTGCCACAGTCATGAAGACCTGCACTAAATCCCCAGCACTCACCCAGAAACCAGGCACTGTGCACATGCCTATAATGCTGCCCTAGGCAGGCAGAGACAAGGGGATCTCGGGGGCTTGCTGGCCAGCCAGCCAAAGTTTGGTGAGCTCCAGATATCAGTGAAAGACTGTCACAAAAAACAGGGTTGACAGTGCCTGAGAAATGACTCCTGTGATTGACCTCTGGCCACCACATGTATGCGTATATATGAGCACACATACACATGCACACACACATAGAAAATGTCAACTCAAATGACAAAACAATCAAAACAGAGACATGCCCCTGGTCCTAAACCATCTTCACTGTGTTGAGAAGTGTCCAGCAGAAAGGAACAGAGCACAGAAGGAACCAAGGTCTCCCAAGCAAGAAGGATGGGCCTCGAAGAACAAGACTCAACTGCTGTTGCAGTTGCCTTCCCTGAACCTCAACACACACACCCCCACCCCCATGTTTCACTTAGGCTAAGTCCACTTCCAAAAACCATTTCTCGACAGTAGGCATCAGGAGAAAAAGGAGCCTTTCTTTCTACGGCATTTGGCTGCCACATATGGTAGTACTATGAATAGAGGCTTTATGAGGGAGGGTCCCCAGCCCAAAGGCCTGGGTTAGGCCACTGGCCACAAACAACAAGGAACAGACCTGAGGATTTATATGTCCGGGCAGCAGAGGCACACTCGATAATTCAGATGGAGCTGCTGTCACATCCCAACAGCCAGTAAGACCTACTGAGCGTCTAGGAGACCCGGGCACCATCTGTAACCCTATCCCAAACACAGAACTCACACATATGCACACAGCTCCTTTGTTCTGTTCCAGAGCTCAGAGGAGAGAAGCAATGATTTCAGCTGGAGGTACTTGACAGCTTTATTCAACATATCACATGTCTCCTGAGTGAGAAAGAGGTCGAAGGAGAGCCTCCATCCCTGAGGAAGAATTAGGGGACACAGCCTCGCACCCGACAGCCCCTGGACCAAGCACGCTAAAGCCTGCCTTCCTCAAACTCCGTAAGTGGTCTCTAAGGGGCAGAGACACTATGGTCAACCCCAGGACTGGCTGCTACGTCCTCCCTGAGCAGAGACAAATCATACATACTTTTGCCGCCATTATTCTTCAGGACATTGGAGAGGTTGACAGAGGCAGTTCCGAGTAGTTCATTCCTCAAGGTATGACAGCTCCAGACCTTCAGATCTAAATGACTCTGGGCTGTGACATTCCTGGAAAACAAATAAGTGACTCATTACAGCCCCGAAGATGAGCCAGTCACCCCTTGAACATGAAACAAACCGTTATAAGCTACATTGCTAACATCTTGCAGGGGACAAAACAGGAAAACAGTCACATACACAGCTCACACACTGACCTGTAACCCCCTAGCTAATAATGAGTGCTCTGTGAGCTCAATGAGATACAAACACCCAGAGAGGCGCACCATGGGGGCCAAGGGCAGCAGCGTCTGCTACCCCGTCTTCTCTCCACCCCTGCCTCCTACATTCTAAAAGCGATGCCCTTACAGAACAATGATTTCATTCCAGAGAAGCTCGGAGCTCCCGATGCGCTTCCCAGTCTTCTTGGTCTCGCTGGGGAGTCCATCTACAGCCACCTCCACGTAGGAGTTGATTCTCGGCTGGCGGTTGTGTACCTTGGGCTTTGCTGACACCACTGGAAGGGACAGAAAGGAAAAGCAGATGAGTCAAAGAACCCCTATGTGCCCCCCGGCTCCTTCCGGTTACTTCCTTTTAAAAGATCTTTTGTTTTGCTTTGCTTTGTCTCTTAAGAAAGTACTTTTGAAGAATTCCATGGAAACGGTTCAGTCAGGACACTGTTTGCTGTGGATGCCTGAGAACCTCATTTCTATCCCCAGTACCCATGCAGAAGGCCAGGTGTGACATGGCAGTATTGTCTGTAATCCCACGGACAGGCAGATCCCCTGGGGTCAACTGTCAGCCAGGCTGGCCTAATTGGCAAGTCCCAGGTTCTAGCAAGAGATTCTGTCTCAAATAACAAAGTGGACAGTGCCTGAGTAATGACACCCAAGGTTGTCCTCCAACCTCCACATGCATGTGCACACACACACACACACACACACACACACACAAGAAATGTTTAAAATAAGAAACAAAAAAGAGCATAAACAAGCCGGGCGGTGGTGGCGCACGCCTTTAATCCCAGCACTCGGGAGGCAGAGCCAGGCGGATCTCTGTGAGTTCGAGGCCAGCCTGGGCTACCAAGTGAGTTCCAGGACAGGCGCAAAGCTACACAGAGAAACCCTGTCTCGAAAAACCAAAAAAAAAAAAAAAAAAAAAAAAGAGCATAAACAAAACAAAGAAGAAAAAAAGGAGTATGGACATATAGTTTGAAATATAAAGGGAAAAAAAATCACTCCTAACCTAAAAACACACAAGACAGAAAAGTGCTTTACCCAGTAACCCCAAAATCAACTTTTAATTGACTGTCACAAAATCCACTGCATGGCTGTGTTAACATTTTACATTGTTGAGAAGTCTGCTTGCAACTCCTCCTCATTCTGGGACAGTCAGCATGAACGCAGCTGGCAGGCATCGAATCAGCTCCTCAGAGCAGCTGCTGCAGGGGTTCCTCTGGGGTTCCTCTGGAAGCCCCTACAGACTCCCTGTGGTGTTCTGAGTATCTCCATTTGGCCACACTGCGAAGTTGAGTGCTGTTTCCCCCTCTTTGCAAACCACACAGATTTTTTAAAATAGTCTAAAGATGATCACTAAGATCCAACCAACAGTCACTACAGACACTGCAATGCATACGTCATGGAACTGAAGCCTCACAATAAACTCATGACGCAGGAATGTACCATCACCCTAGCTGTGCCCAGGAGGAAACAGGCTTGAAAAGAGAGGTCACTAAGGCTGGGTATGGGGACACATACCTGCAATCTCAGCTATTGGAAGAAGCAGCAGGATTGCTGCAAGTTCAAGGCTGGCCTGGTCTACGTGGGGAGTTCCAGGATAGACAGGGCTACTCTCAAAAAACAAAACAAAAAAGCCGGGCAAACTTAGCCAGGCGGTGGTGGCACACGCCTTTAATTCCAGCACTCGGGAGGCAGAGCCAGGCGAATCTCTGTGAGTTCGAGGCTAGCCTGGTCTAAAAAGCTAGTCCAGGACAGGCTCCAAAGCTATAGAGAAACCCTGTCTCGAAAAACTAAAAAAAAAAAAAAAAAAAAAAAAAAGCCAGGCAAAGTCACTCATGCCTATAATCCCACTGACTTGAGAGGCTGAAATAAGAGCATCGTGTTGAGTTCAAAAGTCTACCCTGGGCTACAGAGTGAGGTCTAGCTCAGCCTGGGTCAGAGTGTATATGTTAGGGGTCAGTGGGTGGAGGGAGGTCACTTTTCCAGTTACATAAAGAGGGAGCTATGAGCCAGAATGTGCCCCCAGCAGTCTGACTCCACCCAAGCTGTATGCCATTCCTGGGCTTTGCTTATCCCCGCTACCACTTTTCTTCAGTAGCAGTACGCCTGAACACACTCCATGACGGTCAGCGATCTTATCGCTTGTACTGTTCACAGTCTTCATGAGAATCAATCTCAGTTAATCTCTCAGTCCCCACCCTCTGTCTCTCTGTCTGTCCTCTCTCGCTCTCTTTCCTCTCTCATTTTGGTTTGCTTTTGTTTGTTTCTGGTTTTAAATAGCATCTTGCTGTGTAGCCCGGACTGACGTGAACTTATTCTGCAGCTGAAAATGGCCTGTCTCCCGAGTACTGAGATTACAGATACACACCATGCCCAGCACACAGCAGCCCTTGTGATAGTCACTTGTCACCAACAGACTAGTGACAACACAGAACATAAAGCCAACAAATATCATATCCCATAGGCACATATCCTACAGCATTCATGACTCCCGCTGGGGACTCCAGGCTGATCAGAGGATGACTGATGTTCCTCACCCACAAGGACAAGACTAACCTCCTCTGAGGGCCCTTCTATTGAGAGTAAGCTAAGCTCCTTCCCAGACCGCTCAGGGAGGTGAGACTCCTGTAAACATCTACAACTTGACAAAGGTCACAGCCACCCCTGGGGTTGTTTGAAGCAGTAACTACTCCAAACCCAAAAGCAACAGTAAAGAGGATGTAAGAAACAAAACAAAACAAAAAACTGGGGGCTAAGACTCAAGCAATAGGGATGGGGCTGAAAATAAAGGTTTGTCACAGACTTAAGGCCTAAAGCGGAACATGTACTGCTTTACACATACACCAAGGCTATCTGAGGCCACCTGGTGGTGAGACAGGAGAACTGCATACCTTAACTGCAAAAACAGGAACAAGTTTTAATCAGTCCTGGACAATCTTTAAAATCAAGTTCCTGCCAGGTGTGGTGGCATACACTATTAGTCCCAGCACTCAGGAGACAGAGCCAGGTGGATTTCTGTAAGTTAAAGGCCAGTCTGGTCTACACAGTGAGTTCCAGACCAAACCAAGCCGACTATTAAACCCTGACTCAAAAAAGGGGGCTAGAGAGATGGCTCAGTGCTTGTGAGCACTTACTGCTCTGGCAAATGACCTGAATCCAGTCCCCAGCACCCACACAGCAGCTCACAACCATCTGTAACTCCAGTTTTAAGGAAATGATGGGGTCTTCCAGTCTCCACAGATACTAGACACACAAGTAGAAAACATACATATATACAGACAAACACTCATACTCATAAAATAAAAATAACTAAATCTTGGGGGGTGGGGGGAGTCCAAACCTTTTACTTCATAGTTAAGCCATCTAAGATTCAAGGAGGTGAATTAACTTACCTAAAATCAGAGTTAGTAGAAGGCAGGGCTGAGGCTAGTCCCAAATCTTCCCCTAAGTCAATTCTCTCAGCTCTACCAGGACAGGATTTTTTGTTGTTGATCTATTTTGGTTTTTATCCTCTAGCTCTTTTTCCCTGTTTGTTTGTTTGTGTGTGTGTTTGTGTTTGGTTTTGTTTTCCGAGACAGGGTTTCACTGTTTAGACCAGGCTGCCTTGAACTCGGAGATCTGCCTGCCTCTGTTCCCCAAGTGCTGCAATTAAAGGCATGCACCAGCACCACCCAGCTCGTACCCTGGTTTTTGTTCTTGGTTTGGCTTGGTTCCCAAGCTTGGGACACATGAGAGCCTGTATCCCAAGCTATGTAGCTAAGGATGACTTTGAAGTTCTAATCTGCCTCCATCTCTGGAGTTCTGAGATTATGAGCACACACCACAACACCCAATTTACTCAGTAGGACTGAGCCCAGGGCTTCATGCATGCTAGGCAAATTCTACCAACTGAGCTACATTACATTCCCCAAGTCAAACTGGTAAAAATCTGAGGCCCTAGGTTCAATCTCCAAGTACCTTTAATCTAAGTATTTGGTGTTAAACAATTACAATCTTGAAAAGAAAATAATAAAGTGGGGATGGACAGATTTGAGGAAGTTAGCAAGATGTGGCTATAGATCAGGGAATGGGGACTTCTGAGTAAAGACTGAAGCTAAAAGCAGTTCACTCAGAGAGGGCAAGGGCAAAGGCCCAGAGGCAGAGGCCTGCCATGTGAGTTCAGCCTAGACCCAAGAGGCCAGTGAGTACAGAAGGAGACCAGGACACACGTAAGAAAACAGCGGTCATGGGCTCGTACTCAGAAATGCAGAGATCTGGGTGGCCTACACGGAACAAGACCTGTCTGCTGTGTAACCACAGCCTGCAAGAAGGAAGGCAAAGGGCAGAATCAGAGAGGCAGGTCTGCAGACCTCAATCCAGAACAGAGTGCCATTGGCTAGGGGAGGCAAGAGCTGGAGCGCAGAGGAGTGCTGAGTACCAGGTGGCAGCTTCACTGCCAGATTAATGCGAGCTACGAGAAGAAAAAGTCCGGAGCACAGTGCCAGACACAGGCACTTTTCTGTGGTCACTAGTGGGGTGACAGTCAGCTACTAGTTACACAATCCGGAGTTCCAAGGAAGGTCTGGGCTGCAGATAACAATCTGAAAGTGACCTTTTACTTGAGGCATTTAAAGCCATAAGGCTAGACCACCTAAAGCCCGGGACACAAAGGAATCAACCATCTCAGACCATTTTAGCTATAAGTTCCATTTTTCTCACCTTCCCATTATTTGCCTTCTTTTCCAAGAACTCTAGTTATAATGTGGTAATCTTCTGAGAACGAACTGTTTCAGAAGACCTGGGTCTCTGGCAGATGTGCCTCAAATACTTCCTGCAATGCCACTCACCTTTCAGAGTGAGCTGGGACTTCTCAAAAGGCAGGGCCACTCCTGCCCGGCTGGAGCTGGCAGATGCCATGTCATCACCCTGGAGCTGCAAGGGAAGCAGGGGGAGGGGTTAGACAATGGCTGGAAGGAGACCAAAGAACTCAACCCAACAGGCTGGAGAAATGGCTCAGTGGTTAAGTGGGGCCCTTGCAGAGGACCTGGGTTCAATCCCAGCATCCACATGGTAGTTCACAACCACTTGTAACTCCAGTTCTAAGGGACCTGATGCCTCCTTCTCACCTCCAAGGGCACCAGGAATGAACATGGTCTACAGACATGCATGCAGGCAAAATACTCATCCCCATAAAATAAAATAAATAAATCTAAAAAATTAAAAATAAAAACCTCAACACCAGGACAGCTATGATGGTGCATACCTGCAATCAGTATGACAGCCCAAGCTTATAATCCCAGCACTTGCAACGTGGAGGCAGGAGGATCAGATCAAGGTCATTCTCAGCTATATGGTGATTTCAAGGCCAGCCTAGTCTACATAGTGAGTTCTAGGACAGCCAGGACTACATAATAGAAAGATATTGTCTCCAAAAAGTATAAATAAGTAGTAAGTAAACAAATTAATCCAGCTTTTTTATGGGTCTGTTGAACCTGAAGATGTGACTGAACATTTCTCCGATGATCCCAAATGGCCAATAAAGCCATGAAAAAATGCCATTACCACCCAACAGGTGTCTCTGTCACTCCTGGGGGCTGCAAGCAGTTCACTTGAAACAGAACTCTTACTCAAAGGGAATTCTGGAACATCTTCATTTCTCACTTGGAAAATATTGGTTCCTTGAGCTGTATAGATATTCTTAACCTTAACACGTTCATTATACAATATTAAACACACACACACACACACACACATTTGTGAATGTCATCAGTGATCTCATCAGACAGGCGTCCAAACAGCAGGAAGCTGTCAAGCCCGTTGTGAAAGAGCGGCCCGAAATCCTAATTTTCTTGTAAGAACAATTTTGTTACTGGAACCAATTCTGCCAGTTATTTTCCTTAGAGTGTCAGATTTGCTTCGTTCAGTTTGAAGAAAATGTCTGCCAATTTCTCAAATCTAGTAACTTCAATTTGTTTCTTGGTTGTTTTCTGAAGGAAAAATCGTTATTTCGTGGAAAAAAATGCAACAGTTTGGCTCTAGATTCCCACACTGCTCAAGTGCTTGTCTTCAGCAGTTACTGCCGCTCACCGTGCAGCAGACGCACACTTCAACAGAGAGAATATAAAAAGACATGCTCAAGAGTCAGATGGGGGCTGGAGAGATGGCTCAGCGGTTAAGAGCACTGTGCTGTCCTTCCAGAGGTGCTGAGTTCAATTCCCAGCAACCACATGGTGGCTCACAACCATCTGAAATGAGATTTGGCGCCCTCTTCTGGCCTCTAAGCATGCATGTAGGCAGAACAATGTATACATAATAAATAATAAATCTTTAAAAAAAAAAAAAAAAGAGTCAGATGGGCTGGCAAGATGGCTCAGCAGGCACCCTGCCACACAAGCCTGGAGACCTGAGTTCAATCCCTGGAACCTCCACAGTAGGAGGAGAGAGCCAGCTCCACAAAGATGTCCTCTGACCGATGACCTACACGACATGAGCCATGGTGCACACGCGTGCATAATCACACACTCACACACACACATGTGTGCACACACACAGAGAGACAATACTAATAATAAATAGGAACTGGCGAGATGGCTCAGCTGTTAAGAGCATGTACTACTCTTTTAGAGGAGCTGAATTCCGTTCCCTGCACCCACATCAAGCAGCTCACGACTGCCTATAACTCCAGCTCCAGGGGACACAACACTAGTGGCTTCTGCAGGCACCTGCACAAACACGCACAGACATACACATAAATACAAACTTTCTAAGTAGTAAAATAGAGTGAATTTTTTATTTATTTTAATTTATTTTTGTTTTTTGAGACAGGTCTCACTATGTAGCTCTGGCTGTCCTGGAACTCACTATGTAGACCAGGCTAGCCTCTAACTCACAGAGATTCACCTGCCTCTGCCACTAGTGCTGGGATTAACGGTGTGCACTACCACAGGCAGCTCGTTTAAGGATTCGTGTTCCCTTCTGCCAAGACTGTGCGGTGACGGAGATCATGAAGACGACGGCGACAGCACACATGGCTGCAGCACCCTCAACGCAAGCGTGACCAGTGAGACAGTGAGTGATGGGTGAGTGCTGCTTTAGTTCTGAGGATGCAGTCTCGGAGACTTCTGGAGATCTGAGGACCACTGGAAGCTGCTGCTGTAAGAGCAGTGTATGGGCTGAGAGGTGTGGTGCACAAATAAAATCCTTGAAAGGCAGGAAGACCACTGAGTTCAAGGTCAGCTTGGGCTACCCAGTAAGACTCAGCCTCAAAAACAAAACCCTGTAAGGGCTGCATGTGGTAGCAAACATCTATAATTCTGGCAGCACTCCAGAGGCTGAGGCAGAAAAGTCACAAGTTTGAGGCTAGCCTAGGTTATAAAAACCAAACCAAAACAAACCATCAACCCAGAGCTGTACTCATGACAGGAAAGGCCTCTGCCAGAGCTCCACCTCTGACCCTGGATTGGTCTTTACAGATAGTCTGCCTCTGGTGGAAACCTCCAGAATGCTCCTTAGAGAAAAAGGTACAGTATTCTACAGCTCAGGATCCCAGGAGACCTTGTCACCACCTCCAACAGTGGCTCTCAGTCCTCCACATGGCTGTGCAGACAGGCCAAACACATGAGCGCTCTCATCTCTGAAACCCTGGCTTCCAGGATCCCACACTTTCTTTGAGTTGTCTGCCTTTTCAAATTGTGATGTGTTTCTAAACTGAGATGCTACACCACCCTTGAAAGGTGGGAATCCAGTTCACATGCATAATTCCTAACCGGGGTGAGGGGAGAGGGAGGGAGGAGGGGAGAGGCGGGGAGGGCATTAGAAAAAGGACATGCAGCTTAAGTACAGTACAGTGCCTCTGGTGATCACGAGAACTGTCACGGGGGACACAGGTGTAAGGACACACGACAGCACGGAAAGGAAGGAGCCACTGAGGCCAAAACAGAAGTTCCCTCAGTGCAGGACAAAAGGTAGGACCGGGGTGGAGGGGGGGGGGGGGGGGTAAAGGAGACTGAGAAACTTAACTGTATGTGCAATCTTTTATCTTTTAATAGGTATTATATAACACACATATGTAAGATGTTTATGTTATGTGTAGGAGTACTCTGCCTGTGTGTATGTATGTGCACCATGTGCTTGCCTGGTGCCCATAGAGGCCAAAGGTGGCTTCCGATTCCCTAGAACTGGAGCCATGGGTGGTTGCTGGGAACTGAACCTGGGTCCTCTGGAGAAGCAACCAGTGCTCTTAAGCACTGAGCCCTCTCTCCAGCCCCAAAATCAGAGTTCTTATATTTATCTCAGTCTCTGAAACATTCTGTATGTCTGACCTTTTTTTCTCAGTAATCAACAATTTTCAGGGGGAATGAGAGTATACCGAATAGTTATAAATCAGGCTCTGGGGTCCGTGCTTTAGCAGAGGCTAAGGCACTACAAGTTGGAAACCCACTATTTATAGACTTTAAAAACAAAAGACTATTTTTAAAAATCTTGATGTCTGCTAGGGCTCTCTCTTCCCTAAGGCAACTGAAGTAAGGGTAGCTTTTGAACCAGCTTGCTCTCCTGAGCTTTGGTCTTTGGTCCAAACTCTAGACAATGAGACTTGGAGCCCCCACATGACTTTGTTACGGCGGATATAAACTAAGTGTCCTGAGCTACAACTAACAGCCCCAAACAAAATGCCACAGATAAATGCTACCTACCGAAAGCTCAGAAAGATCAAGGCCAGCTGAGAACAGAGGAGAAATAAGGGCTCAAAACTCCACCAAGGCCTTCGCCCTCCAGTCATCTGTAATTACAGCCCACTGTTTATGAACACCGGCCTCTGTTATTATGGTAGCTTTGTCTGTAGATCCAATTAGCCAGGTACCACCTGACCATTACAAGGTAAGCTATGTGAACTGTAAAAACCTGTCCAATGTGCATATAAAGAAAAATAACCACAACTAGGAAGTGAAGACAGACAGACTTCAGTCTGCTGAGTAAACCTACCACACAGGAGGTTGAGATAGATGCCAGAGTTTGAGGCTACCCTGGGCTATACCTCAAGACTCTACAAAATAAATAAGAGTCACTGATCCCCAAGTACTTACAACCTATTGGCTCGACTCAGGGTCTCACCATCAACATAATATAAGTAAGTACTGTGTTGAGTTCATATCCCCAACACACTACAGGAAGCTTGGAAAACCTGAACACAGAATGTGCTCCACTTCTGATTCAGAAACACAGAGAGGTGACTAATCACTCTTTCCAGCTAGTAATGAGGAAGTGTTTACAAACAAACAGAAAGACAGAGCAGGAGGGAGAAAGGGGAAGGAGGGAAAAGAGAAGAAAGAAAAGAAAATCAGGAAAAGGAGCCACTTTACGAGCCCAAGACAGGCAGGGGATTCAAACTCACTTATGTAACCATGGACTTCAGATCCCCTCGCCTCCAGGCCCTGAGTGCTGGGACGACAGACACAACCATCAAACCTGGTTTGTGAGAAGCTAGAGATGGAGTCCAGGGCCTCCTCTGCGCAGGGTGAGCACTCTATCCACTAAGCTACAGCCCTCACCCCAAAGTCATCCTTTCAAGTATAGACTTGCGCTGGGTTTTCCTGATTCGGAGCCAAGCTGCCATCACCTCTATCCCACTCCAGACCATTTCATCACCCCCAAATAAACCCTGTTCTGTCCACTATCAGCCCACCCTCCCTCCCCCAGCTCCTGGCAAACAGCAATCTATTTCTTTGTCACAGTGGATTTGCCTACTCCAGACAATTCGTACAAATGCAATCATGTGACCTTCGTGTGGCCTCTTGTGACTGCTTTCTTTCATAGGATGTTTTCAGGTCGCTGTAACATGTATCTTTCTTTTTGTGGCAGAATGTTGCTCCATTGTTTGGCTATACCTTTCACTTATCCATCTGGGTTGTCAGGACCAGTGGACTCATTGCTCT